TTTTTGGGTCCGGTCGTGGGGCCTGAACACTGGGCCTGGGTGCTGTCCCTCAGCTCTTCAGCTCAAGGTTAGTGCTCTACCACTTGAGCCATAGCGCCACTTCTGGCTTTTTTCTTTTTGCTTATGTGGTGCTAGGGAATTGAACCCAGGGCCTCATGCATGCAAGGCCAGCGCTCTACCACTGAGCCACCTTCCCAGCCCCAAGGAGAACATTCTTAGGGAGGAACAGAAGTGTGCAATGCCTCTGTGCCTCTGGTCATATAAAATAGTATTTATCAAAATGAATTCCAGGAAATGGAAAAAATGGTTGAAAACTGAACATTGTGGTACACAACTGTAATCCCAGAACTTGGAGGCAGAGGCAGGAAGAATATGAGTTTAAAGTCAGTATTGGCTACATAGTGAGATGGTTTCCAACAAAAAAGGTTTGACAATCAAGTTTAAAAATAACTGAAATTTTCTAATTAAAATGGCCAAGATGGCAAATTTTAACGGTGTTTTAGCCACAAAATATGTATTTATACTTAAAATGTTACATTTTTCTCTTAGAATTATGAGATTATTCACTGAAGGATTTGTGAATATGTGTATGTGTTTATATCTGTGTGTACATGCATGTGTTCACGTGCCAGTACTGGGGTTTGAACTCAGGGCCTTGGGTGCTGACCCTGAGCTTCTTTGCTCAGAGCTAGCACTCTACCATTTGAACCACAACTCCATTTCCAGCTTTTTGGTGATTAATTAGAGGTAAGAGTCTCCAGACTTTCCAGTCTCCTGCCTAGACTAGATCCTCGTATCTTAACCTCCTAAGTAACTAGAATTACAGACATGAGCCACCAGTGCCCAGCCCTAGCTTTCATTTTAAGACATTAAAAGTTTTAAAACATTAACATTTGTTTTTATCATTTGTAGGTTTTTAGAACGCCTATTTGAGCGACACATAAAAGAAAATAAACACCATTTGGAAGAGGTTTGTCTTCCCTTAGAGCCTCATTAGAAAAACCTTTAAAAATTTAAAGGGTTTTTTTTGTTGTAGATTTGTTGTTTGGTGGGGTGGTTTGTGTGTGTGAAGGTCCTGTAGCTTGAGCTCAAGTCATAAGTGCTGTACCTGAGTTTTTGTACTCAAGACTACTATCATTGTGGGCGATATGAAAGCAGCAGGAGAATGAAAATACTAATCCTCCTGAGATAGTCTGCAGACAAAAGTCATTAAATTCCATTATCTTAATAAAAGTAGTCTTATAATTACTTTCTTAATCCTAGGGGAAAATGCGCCACCTGCTGCAAGGCCTGAAGATAGACTTGGGCTGCCTGTGCGAGGAAAATTCAGACAAGCTAAATGAAGTTGACAGATTGAATGTACTTGACCTTTCAAAGGCTATGAATTCAAAACAAAATGAATTGAAACATGAAACTGATATAGCATTTCAACAGGAATATCGACAATACCAAAAGGCTTTGGATCTGTTACTGTCTGCACCAAAGAACGAGAATGAGATGTTCTCCTCACCTGGTGAATTTATCATGCCCCCCTATAAGTCAAAATATTCAGAAAATGTCACAGTTCAACAGGTGAGTGACGAAAGCAATCTTGGACCAGCAACTTGGGGTGAAAACCATCCAGGAATTTCAGACCATTTAATAGACCACCAAACCTCTGTACATGTCATTGAAGGTGACAATGACACTGAGAAGGCTGAGACTTCGAGTGAATTATATTCTCTTAGCTCATTACTGTCCCCGTCTGGTCAGGTCTCTGGCATCAAAGGTGACAATAATCATGACAAGGAATTACCAACTCATCAAATCATGGAAATGAGCATTGAAGACTGCGATTTAGATATTTGATCATCACTAATAAATACCCCAGATGGCCAGTAACTCAATATATTTTCTTTGTTTTCCTCTTATATGTTAAGATTTCTGTATAGTTTTCAATGCTAATTAATAAATGGCTGTAAATTTAGTGGATTTATAAAACACATTTATTACTGCCTAAACAATCTAAGCAATGTAGGTAAAGTCCTTTGCTCTGCATCTCCTAAGACTACACTCAAGGCAGCATTCCAGATCTGATCTCATCCAGTAACTTGCAGAGGGAGCATCTGCTTCCAGTCTCTTTAGTTATTGGCAGAATTCTTCTTGCAGCTACAGATCTCACAGCTTCATTTTCCTGCTTGATGGTAGCCAGACTGCCTTCAGTTTCCTGTCACTAGGCCCTCAAGCACACGGCTATTGCCTTTTCTAGACTTACATTAGCCTCTCTGGACAAGCAAAGAAAACTGCCAGTAAGATGGAGTCTCACATAATTTACTTGCAGGGGTATATTCCTATCACCTTTGCCATTTGTTTTTGGTTTCAAGTAAGTCACAGGATTCTCCCGCACTTAAGAGTTGTGAGGATACCATTCAGGGAGTGGATGTCCAAAGGTGGATAGTTCTGTAATCCAGGAGCATATTTTACACAGACTTCTCAGGCAATGGGAAATAGCTTGTGGTCGTAACAGGTTTTGAAGTAGAACACCTTTCTACAGTGTCTTTGACTTTCCTTCTCACTTTTCTTCAATATTAAAAGCCCAAGGAACTTTCTCCTTATTAGTAAGCTGGGGCACTTCTCAGCATCTGAAATATCGTCATCTCTTGTGAGTCCCAACACTTTATCAGACGTGTCTGCTACCCTCCCCTTATGCTTTACATCATGAAAATCCTCACCATTAAGTCTCAGGACAGACACCTCTGATAATGTGCTTTCAACTATTTATAATAATATGATTGAATATTAAATACCTGTCATACATACTTTCATTCCAAGCCACCTGGGAGGATAAAGAGTATTATCCCAGTCTTAAAAACAATGACCTCCGCAGGGCACCGGTGGCTCACGCCTGTAATCCTCGCTACACAGGAGGCTGAGATCTGAGGATCACGGTTCAAAGCCAGTCCAGGCAGGAAAGTCCATGAGACTCTTCTCTCCAATAAACCACTAGGAAACTGGAAATGGTGCTATGGCTCAAGTGATAGAGTGCTCGCCTTGAGCTGAAGAGCGCAGGGACAGCGCCCAGGCCCAGAGTTCAAGCTCCACGACCAACTAAAAACAACAACAACAAAAAAAACAATGACCTCCAACTTTTGACTAAACCACTGTTTCAAAAGGAAACAGTTCCAATATCAGTCTCCGTGGAGCTAGGGAAGCTACTGGTTATAAAAGGAGTCTCCCAAGCTTTCTTGTCCAGGCTAGCCTTTGAACTGTCATCACTTTTTTTTGCTTTGCATAAAACCTTGCTGGAAGCAAATTCTCCTAAATATCCAAAGAATTTCTATTTATATAATTTGTGTGTACATATATGTATATCATCTTTTAAATACATCTACTTCAATCTCCATCACCAAAATAGTATAATATATATTATAAATAATATTTTATGCCGGGTGCTGGTGGCTCACTCATCTGTAATCCTAGCTACTCAGGAAGCTGAGAGCTGAGGACTTATCTCTAATAAACTACTCAGAAAAAACCTAAGTCGCGCTATGGCTCAGGGACAGTGGCCAGGCCGAGTTCAAGCTCTAGGACCAGCCAAAAAAAAAAGTCTTATATTTATATAATGTATATTTACTTTGTGAACACTAGCATATCAACCTGTCTGAAATGAAGCTGGCTGTATCACCCTCATCAGTTATCAGTTCATCAGACATTGCTATACTCTCCTCCCTCCTCTGTGTTTCTGGCTAGACATTTCTTTCTGGAAGTTTCTAAGTAATCACAGGTCCAGTTTCTTTTCTGATCCTGTCGAAATGTTTTAATACTAAATTCTAGGGCTTTCTGAGTGCTTTACAATAGATGTTCTAGAAGAAAATAAAAAGAGCAATTAGAATTCCATTATAATAAAATGAGAACTTACTGTGCTGGAACCATCTAGAAAATTCCACCCAATGTCCTTCATGACAGCAGGCACTCCTGCCTGATCAGTGGAAGCACTGGTTTATATAGCCGATTTCTTGCAGCAGTGTACATTTTGGTACGAAATTAATATGGAACTAAAAGACACTAGGATACATGAAGCCTTGTGGATCTGGCAGAGAGTAACATTCTAACATGGTAAACCATAAAATTTCAAAGTCCAAGAACATACATTTACTTGTATTTAGAATTTTTTTCATACCAACTTGGATTAAAATTTTTTAATTACTTGGCTCTTCAGAGTGACAGGCTTTTAAGAGTGACAGATTTATTACAACAGGAATACAAGTATGTCATATATTACTCTTTATTTAGACTTTGATTTTACAATATGTTCTTGTCAACAGGACACTTCAAAATGTTTAAGCCCAATAGAAAAGCATTTCTTAATCGTACCATTGGAAAAATAAAACCAGAAAAATTCCTGTCTGTGGTTTGTACCTGGGAAGTACTTCTGACTCCATTCTTCTGGGGAGCTGTCTCACTTGTCTATTATTATTAAAACAGTTTTTAGGACAGTTTTAGATTTAAAATTGCTCTCTTGTTCCTGAGAAGTGTGTGCACTTTCAATGTTTACTTTCCTCAGTATCTCTGGAGCTTTCCCCTCGGGCGGCTGGTTTCTGGTAAGTTGGTTAGGCTGGCTTACACTGCAGACAGCAGTGCTGTCTCATGGAGGACGGCTTTTCTAATGCCCAGAGTAGTGAGCTCAACCGCTTTAGAACTGATAGGGGAACCAGAACAATGCCTAGAACATGGTAATTGCTCCAAATAACTACAGGTTGGACATTCTGGAAGCTCTCTATTGTGAGCAAACAGCCTCGGAAGGGAGAAGGAGATGGCTTTTAATATGAACGTACTACTTCATTCTCACCGGCTCAATATAACTGGACAAGGCAAGACACCAGATGGCTCTGCCCAATGGGATGGACCCAAACAAGATGGAGGGAAGGGATCCAGTACCTAAAACTGATCCTGGGAGTAAAGTTAGGAGATTAAGGAGGGAGCTAAAGTGTAAGTACCTCTTGGAAACCACAGCAATTCCTGGTACCCTCACAAATGTCAACTGTGTTTTGGAGAAGAGTTCCAACTATCATAAATCATTCTCTTCTTTCAATTAGAAAAAAAAAACAGCTTCTTAAAGGCTGTATGTGTGTGTGCACGCATGCGTGCACACCAGTACTACAACTTGAGTGAGGTCTTGTGCTCTCAGCTTTTTTGCTCAAGTCTACTGCTCTACAACTTAGCCACACCTCCACTTCTGGCTTTTTGCTTGTTAATTTGGAAATAAGAGTTTCCTGGACATTTTTGCTGGGGCTGGCTTTGAACTGCAATCCTCAGACCTCAGGTCCCTGAGTAGCGAGGATTACAGGCGTGAGCCACCAGTACCTGGCTTCTTCAAAGTTTCTTTGATAACATGAACCTGAATTTGGAAGAGAAAGAGAGGGAGGGGAGGGGAGAGGAATAGAGGTAGAGAGGGAGAGGGAGAGACTACAGATTTTGGTGGAAGGATTCTATGGAAACAATAAGCCACTGAGAGTAACTGGACAGTGAGAGGCGGTGAATTCTCTGGGGTCGACCCTCAGACTCCCAAGCCCCAACTCTCCTAACTGGGCTAAGTCTGAGTAAGGTAATACTGCAGCTTTTGTGAAGACTAAGATGTCCAGCACTTAACATCACAAACCACTTACTCTTCCTTGTCATCCTACATACTCTAATCCTTCTCTTTGAAACGTTTATAAAACAATGTCCATCATTACTGTCTTAAATATAAAGCAATACATATATAAAAACTCAGATTATGGTTGTTTTTCAAAGGTGCTTAAAACCATCCTATGTCATTGTTTTACACTTCATTTTTCCAACTCCCAAAAGGTCAAACCCATTTAGATTTATGAATAATACTGAAAAAAATAGTGAATCTGATTCTCCTATATTTTAATGTGCCTTCATTCTTGTTTCTTCTGTGTGAATTGACTGGTTTCAGTATTGTAGCAAGTTGAGTTCTTGTTTGGAAAATACAGAAGGTACAAATATATAGAATTTTTAGGATAAAAAATTTTCTGAATATAAAAATGCTTTCCATACTTCAAAATAACACTTTTAGCTTCTCATTAAGAGTTCTGGGCTCGGTAAACAGACCATGAAGTACCCAAGGGTTTTTTGTTTTGTTTTTTCTTTTTACATAACAAAAGATAACAACATGGTTTTAAATACAAAGTTATGTAAGGACCGCTCAATCTGTGGATCATCCCCACAGAATGTTCAGTTTCTAGCTGAGAAAAACCCCTAAATAGTTTAGTCATAAAACTCCATTATCAAAAACTAGCTTAAGATGGAAATCTATGAGCCATTAGGATTTGCCAGAATAACCCAGCATAGCTTCAGTAAAACAGAGAATTGTCTAGAAAATACAATCTCCAAAATGTGTGCAAGTACTGCAAATCAGACAGACCAGGGCAGGACAGTTATGTCCTGTCCAAGTCATGTCCGTGTTTGTCCTCCAGCACAGTTCTGAGGTCCCAAATCCCCTTCTTCAGCCTTGTGCTTTGCATGTTGCCTTCAGTGCGTAGCTATTCATAATGGCCTTTCCGGATGCATCTTCACATGGCTCAGGTGATGAGGAGCAAGTGTGATGGCTGGGCAGTGTGGGAGCTTAGATGAGCCTGGAGCTTTTCAGGAACTGAATGAGAGCTCTGTACACGAACGTGTACTGGCAGAGGGTCTGCACCAGCATCATCCTCTGCTGTCTCAACATACCCAGCACTCTCGGGATGTCCAGCACCTAGGGAAGAGCAGCGATGGTGAAGGGAACGCACTCCCTGGGGGACACAAAAGGCTGGGGAAGCTGCTGTTCCAGCGGGAGGCTGGCTTGCTGGAGGGAGGCACGGCTCAAGTGGTAGAGTGCTTCCCTAGAAAGCTCGCTAGAACATGGCTTACATCTGATTCATTTTAACTGCAAACAGGACATCTGCCGGGCACTGGTGCCTCACACCTATAGCCTTGGCTACTCAGGAGGCTGAGATTTAAGGATTGCAGTTCAAAGCCATCCTGGGCAGGCAAGTCCATTAGATTCTTACCTCCAGTTAACCAGAAGTGGAGCTGTGGCTCAAAGTGGTAGAGCACTAGCTTTGAGCACAAAATCTTAGGGATAGCCTAGGCCCCAAACCCCACAATGGACCAAAAACAAAACAAAAACAAAAAATATATGACATCCATATGGAATATTCCTCAACATTCTTTGGCTATCTGGGTCTGGTTTTAAGTCATCTCTCATCAGATAACCAAGACTGAACAAAAACTCACTGTTGCCAACTGTGACCCAGCACCTGGCTCAGCATGTCCCACAGAGCGCACTGGGCTGCGCTCATCATCTTTGAAATGTTGGTTGATATTATGGGAAAAAGTTTTGCATTCAAATTGGAAAAACAACAACAACAAATGGATAAAACTAAACAGCCTTATTTACCACATGACCTCTCAGTCTTCAGTCTGCTAGCTAGAACTGAGAAATCTGCAAAATTTACTCTTTTCAGCAATACATAACATGCTGAGGTCACCACAGTCCCGGGCAATGTGATCACAAAGACCTCCTAGTCTCTTCTCCTTTCTAGTCTGATTTCCAGGTCAGGCTTAATCTAAGGCATCACCTCATTGTGTTCCAGACAGGCAATCATGATCTCTGACAAGATGACCACGCCAGTCCTTCCCACTCCGGCACTGCAGTGGACCAACAGTGGAGGGTTGGGGCTCTTTGGTTCACCTGTACTATTTGTGTGGCGTCGAACAGATTGGATCTCTTCAAGGTATGCTGTAAAGAATAACATTAAAAACAAAAAACTGCATGTTCATATCCATTGTTAAGAATACTGCAGATAGCTGGGCACCAGTGGCTCACACCTGTGATCTTAGCTACTCAGGAGGCCAAGATCTGAGGATCCTGGCTCAAAGCCAGCCTGGACAGGAAAGTCCATGAAATTCTCATCTCCAATTAATCACCAGAAAACCGCAAGTGGAGCTGTGGCTCAAAGTGGTAAAGTGCTAGCCTTGAGCACAAAAGCTCAGGGACAGCACCCAGACCCTGAGTTCAAATCTCCAACTGACAAAATAAAAACAAAACAAAAAAGAACACTGTAGATAATAAAGCTGGGCACCAGGGAACCAGTCCCAACCCCTCCCTGTGACCTACGGGCAGAGCCAGCACCTCAACCAATGAAAGGGAGGACAGACACAGAGAAGCAATGGACACACTACTTGCTAACAAAACTGGCCCCACCACAAAACATTCCTGTTCTTTATTTTAAAACAAGTCCCATCAGGAGGCTGAGATCTGAGGATCAAGCTTTGAAACTAGCCTGGGCAAACAAATTCCCCAAACTCATCTCCAATTAACCAGTAAAAAGCCAGAAGTAGACATGTGGCTCAAATGGTGAAGCACCAGCCTTAAGAGAAAACGTGCAAAGTCCCCGAATTCAAGCCCTAGTACTGGCACAAAAAGAACTGTAAAAAATAATAATTTTTAAAAACTAAACCAAGTCCCAAGTCCCAAATCCCAACCTAAGGAACAGATTTCAGAAGCCTAAGCCTGAAGCTCTCCTGGAACAGAGACACTTACATAAGAAGCCCTTGAGGTCTTCAGGACAGCCATGCTCAGGCCAATCTGTGTACTGGAGGTGCCACACTGTCCTCTCCTGTCCTGTGAGGAGGTGCTTCATCTTCAAGCCTGTGGTGGCATAGCAGCCAGAGTCGGTGCGGAATCGGGTGGTGATCTTAAACCTTCCATAGGTGACAGTGTTATGCCTGGAACCAAGTCGTGGCCAATACCTGAAGCTCTTCTCTCTCCCACCCTCCTGTGAAAGACAAGCAGGGTTCAACAGCAGCACAGGATCCAGCCGCAGACCCAGAGAACCTGGAATGCAGAGCCCCAGTCCCACCCTGCCCTTTCCTCTACAGACCAAGGAAGAGAATGAGCGCATACCTCTTCCGCCGTCACCATCGCTATAATCGCAACGCCCTGCTCCCATACCATCTGCCAGAAATCCTGACAGGTATTCTGTAATGGACCCTGGGTGGCAATATAATCCCACTCAATTCCACTAACAGAGACCTGAAATCGGAAAAAGGTTATAAATTACTCTGTACATGAAAAACATATAGATATATTCATGGCACAACTGAAAAATGGACTGGGTTATTCAGCAGTTAGGACATACCTTATGCTTTTCTTTGAAGACAATGCCCTTTACCCTACATAAATATACATATGTATGTATGTATGTATATACACACATACACTTTGCATATATATGTAGATGAATATATATACTTTATACATATATGTATATGCTTTATATATCTGTAGACATATGTGTGTATGTATATGTGTGTATGTGAATTCATGTAGCAATCTGAAATCTCTGTTTTTAATATAAATGAAAATGCTTCCTACTGACTGAGTAGAAATATACTGTGCCAGGCACATAGGAAGTACTCAGTAAGCAGCTATGATTGCTGTGACATTTCAAAAATACCAACTTCATAGTACCGAGATTTCAAACACAATTTCCACAAGGAGCTGGTGGCTTATGACTGTAATCCTAGATACTCTGCAGGCTGAGATCTGAGGATCAAGGTTCTAAGTCAGCCTGGGCAGACAAATCTGGGACTCTTAACCAGCAAAAAGCGAGAAGTGAATCTATGGCTCAAGTGGTAGAGTGCCATACTTGAATGAAAAAACTAACCAAGAATGCAAGACCCTGAGTTCAAGCCCCAGTACTAGCACAAAAACAAACATAAATAAAACACAATTTCCCGTCACAAAGTATTAAATATGTTGGAAAATGGGCTAATAATCAAGCCAAAACCTAAGTTAAATGTCAGATTTCTAGGGGAAAAAAAAAATTCATATTTAAATGTTTTCTCATCTTGATCTTCTGAGTCAAGATTCCTCTCCAGAGTAATACCAAGTTTTCCACTTGAGATTTAACACACTTGAACAGTATCTAATGTCACAGAGTCATTGCGGGATTTATAGTCAGGAAAGGAAACCTGGGCTAAATCTTAGCTCTAGGATTCAAGGATTCAAAACATGGAACACCTTGCCAGGCCTATTCCACACACTCTCCCACTCTCTCCCTGAGCACCTGCTCAGCGAGCATGGGGTGGACACAAATAACCACAAGGGTTGGACAGATGGGCACCCCTCAACTGAGGCCCTGTAACAGGCAAGTGGGAGATTGAGGGGTCAACCCAATCTGCCCAATTCTGAAGCTCAAACTCTTTCCATGACTCTTCCATTTGCCACTGAAGACTGAAATGAACTATAGAAGCACACCTCCATTCAATTCTTATTTATCCACTCATAAAAGACTAGATCATGGGGCTGGGAAGGTGGCTCAGCGGTAGAGCGCTTGCCTTGCATGCATGAGGCCCTGGGTTCAATTCCCCAGCACCACATAAGCAAAAAGAAAAAAAGCCAGAAGTGGCGCTGTGGCTCAAGTGGTAGAGCACTAGCCTTGAGCTGAAGGGCTGAGGGATAACTCCCAGGCCCAGAGTTCAGGCCCCACGACTGGACCTAAAAAAAAAAAAAAAAAAAAGACTAGATCAGATATTCAAAAGAAAGAAAAACAGGCTGGGTATCAGTGGCTCACACCTAGAATCTAGAGACTCCAGAGGCTGAGATCTGAGGATTGAGGTTCCAAGCCAGCCCCACCCCGCCCAGCCCAGGGAAGGAAAATCCTAGAGAGATTTTTTTTGGAGGGGAGGCGGTGGGCAGCCCTAGGGCTTGAACTTAGGGCCTGGGCACTGTCCCACACACTGAGCCTCTTTTGCTCAAAGCTAGCATTCTACCACTTGAGCCACAGCACCATTTGAAATCGAACCCAAGAGGGCTTTATGCACGCTAGGCAATCACTCTACCACTAGGCCACATTCCCAGCCCCCTAGAGACTTATCTCCACTTAACCACAAAAAGCCAGACGTGGAGCTGTGGCTCAATTGGTAGAGTGCTAGCCTTGAACAAAAAAGCTCAGAAACAGTGCTCCGGCCTTAAGTTCAAGCCCCAGTACTGGCACTAAAAACAAACAAACAAACAAACAAACAAAACCTCAGAATACTACGTGCATAGATTCCTCAAACCATTAAAGGTACAAATGAGCACATACAGATTGCCAGGTGTTCAGAAAACCCTCAGGGGTAAGATTGGTCTCGTAGCAAATAAGATTTGCACGCTGAAGAAAATGTGGGAAAGAAGAAAATCAGCTCCTGGCTACAAAAGCATACCCAGAAGACAGAGTACTGGGCTGTGTTCAGCCACCAGTTGCAAGTGATCCCTTTCCCGTTCTAATGGGGGCAACGCTGCTCTGGTTAAATGGCCTCATCCTGCTTCCTAGAGCAAGGTGATACTCAAAAGCAATCAAAAATTATATTAAGTAAAATAAGCCAGACCCAGAGAAGCATAGGTTGCATGGTTATTGCTGGTAGCTAGCATATGTCTATAAATTAACAAGTAAACACACTGGACGGTTCAAAGAAAAATACACTGGGACACGATAAATTATACAGGTCTCTATCTAGACAGTCACATGCACTGAGACTAAAGGAAGATATTCTTAGGGGAAGAACACAAAGGTACAATACCTATGTTCATCAGAGCATATAGCTTTTATTGCAAGGTGCCAGTGGCTCACGCCTGTTATCCTACCTACTCAGGAGGCTGAACTCTGGGACCGCAGTTCGAAGCCAGCCTGGGCAAAAAAGTCACTGTGAGATTCTCATCTCCAATTAACCACTCAAAATCTGGAAGTGGTACAATGACTCGAAGTGATAGAGTACTAGCCTTGAGCAAAAGAGCTCAGAGACAGCACCCAAACCCTGAGTTCAAGCCCCACAACCAACACATACACACACAAAAATGTATCAAAACAAACTCCAGGAAATATAAACAAGAGGTTTTCTTCTTTGTTGCTGTTTTTGTTTTCTTTTCCTTTTGTCTTGTTTGTTCATTTACCTGTCTTTAGGAGGATAAGGCGACACAGAAATAGAGTGACAAAGAGTGAACAAATGCAGCAGTGGTACTCACTGGACACTGTGGAAAATGTATACAACTTGTGGTTGGGGACCACAAGGGAAAAACTGGGAGAAGAGTGAGGGAAGGGGTGATATTGTCCAAAAGGAAAGGTACTCATTACCTGACTGACTTAACTGAAACTCCTCTATACATCACCTTTATAATAATTATTCAAAATGCACAAAGAAAAAAGAAGAAAGCACAAACATAAATACAAAACTTGCAAAAATAGATGAAATAAAAGCAATGACAGTGACCAGGCCAAGAAAACAGGTGACTCCTTCCTAAACAAAAGCTTTGTGAGAGCCATCCAAAAGCCCAAACACCAGGCTGGGGACATCTTGGGTGGCAGAGCACCCACAGGGCATGCCCTGGAGGGTACCCCAAAACCACCACTACCACCAAAACAAAACAGAAGCAGCCTGACACGTTAGCTACACAGAAGAAAATAAAAACACATGCAGTTTTGTGGTGAGGGAAAACTAGCAATTTGGCAGCTCTGGTGAGAATGGATGAGCTTGAAAGAAGACTGCAGACTAAGAGAGACAAAGTTCTAAAGCCAGCAAGGAAAGTGCTCCCTGAGTCCTGGTAACAGTATTGGAACACAGTGGTTAGCCTTGCCTGGGGAGGACTTAACTTCATCAGCCTCAGTCTGATACTTTTTTTTTTTTTCCCTAGCTCTGGTATATGAATTCTCCAGCTTATAACATAGTTGTCAACACGGTTCAAAACCAGGGCATTTGTAGAATACAAACACGAATACAATTCTGACCATTCTGATAACCCCAGGCCATTCGGCTCCTCTCTCACCTTAATATGTGAAGCGTTGATGTAGCCAGTGTTGTTTTCCTTAGTGGGGACCAGCTCCACTCTGGCGTCCTCGTAGGGAAGCACGTCCTGGAACCGGTTCCGCTCTGCATTTTCAGGAAGGCGGGCGGTGGAGCACTCCCCATCCACCAGCCGTCTCTTAAGAATCCTCTCATATTCGGTGAACACTGTTCCCTGCTCTAACCGCTGCTCCAGGACTTTGCACTGTGCAAGAGAATGTGTGGAATACAATGAATGCGGTCACACGCTGTGACACGCCACGGCGTGCTTCACAAAGCTCGTCTTCTGCCTCAAGGCTGCATTACCAAATATTGAGAAGTCTACCCACAGTTAAACTGAAAAATTTCAACAAACCATACAAGAAGTTAACAGGGAAAACTGGTGAGAACATATGGAAACAATAATCTATTTCTAGAGTTGAAAACTAGCCCCAAGCAAACTGTTAAAAACCTGTTGTCTCTAACTACCTTTCTCTAAAGTGAATCCCTGCACCCCCCAACCCCCCACCCCCCGCAACGTGAACATGAATTCTCCTGGCAAACAGTAAACCTCCACAGGAGAATTAGTTCCAATGTCTGGGAACAATGCTCCAACCTGTAAAAAGTGACATGTGAGATACTAAAAAGTAAACACTGATTTTTACCTCATCCAGTTATAAGTTAGAAGATTCCTGTCTGACTTTGAGATAATAAAATCTCATAGAAAATATACCTCCCCCCAAGAGGAAATTTTACAAGGGTTAGTATACTATATATTCTTGAGATTAAAAAAAAAAGTTTCAGTGTAATGAAATCAGTCCTATCGTGTGTGTGTGTGTGTGTGTGTGTGTGTGTGTGTGTGATTTGTTCTCATTTTTTCTTAATTTTGCCGTCATGGGGCCTGAACTCTGGGCCTGGGCGCTGTCCTTCAGCTCTTCAGCTCAAGGCTAGCTCAAGCTCTACCACTTGAGCCACAGTGCCACTTCTGGCTTTTTCTTCTTATGTGGTGCTGAGGAATCAAACCCAGGGCCTCATGCATGCAAGGCAAGCACTGTACCACTGAGCCACCTTCCCAGCCCCATTTGTCTCATCTTTAAGGCTAGCAAAAATCAACCGCCCCAAGTGACTGAAAGAAGGCAGAGGAACACATTCAGAAACAACACTTACTCAACACTGGAACCTAAAATTATCTATCAAGACATTAGATATCCGTTTGCCCAGTAACACTCACCCACGACTATTCAATCATTCTAAAAGAATTCACAGAAACCGCAACCAAGGCACTCATGTCCGCCTTCCTGGGCTCCCCTGGGAAGGCGGGAAGCCAGGTGTGGCGTACGTACCCTCTCATCATTCGTCGCTCTGGTAGACACTTCCTTCCCTTCATCAGGCAGAGGCAATCGAGACAGGGAGAGTCCGTTGAGGGCAGCCAACTTAAGGGGGCCAATTTTTTTTGCATCCACTCGAGACTTTTTCATTCCCTGGAAATATATATCCGAGCATATATATTTAATATACACACAGAGAGCCCTTTGGAATCAGACTCAATGGCCAAAGCCTGGAAACAAACTGAGTGTCCTCCTTCCCTCCTTTGCACATCTGTTTAGCAAACATTAGGAGGAAGACATTCCTTTCAAGGCCAAAGCTCTGATAAGGCCTCCCTTTTGAAACTCAATTGGTTGCGACTCTGTTGCAATGAAAAGGTGGGGCTCCAGACAGGCAGCATTCCTTCAGATGCTGAAATTCAAATCCCTCTCTCTCTCCCTCTCCCTCTCCTCCCTCTCTCTCTCTCCTTCTACCCCTCTCTCTCCCTCTCCCCCTTTTTCTCTCCTCCCTTCTCTCCCCCCTCACACACACACACACACACACACACACTGCAGTCCCCCAAAACCTCTCAAGTGCCATTGTTTGATTGCTGTAATAATCCTATATTTTTTAAATAAGTCTTAAAAACTATTCTGAAAAAAATTACATGCTTTCCTTTTGAGCACTGCCTTCCCATGTCTACATTCTATGGCAAAATTGTGTGACCCAGGCTGCATCATTATTGTATTGTTTTTATTTTTTTTATTTTTGGGTCCAGTCATGGGGCCTGAACTCTGGGCCTGGATGCTGTCCCTCAGCTCTTCAGCTCAAGGCTAGAGCTCTACCACTTGAGCCACAGCGCCACTTCCGGCTTTTTTCTTTTTGCTTATGTGGTGCTGAGGAATTGAACCCAGGGCCTCAGGCATGCAAGGCAAGCGCTCTACTACTGAGCCACCTTCCCAGCCCCTATTGTATTGTTTTTAGAATAGCCATGTTTTTAAAGCAGGAAAATAACTGGCTGAAATTTCCATCAGGAAGATAAGAGTGTAAGAGAGAACAACAACAGAATTTCTACCTATTGAAAATAGGCATTTCCTGAAGTTATTATTAAACAATGATTTTCCTCTCAATAGGAAGTAAGTCTAAGAAAGCTAAGTCTCCTTGGATATTTACTCTATACTTTCTTAGAAGCCACAATAAGTAGACCCAACTTGAAAGAAATGGTTTGCTCTGTCTGTCTTAAATGAAATCAGGTTTATTCCAGTTCTACCAAACCAGAAAAGGTTACAAAACCCCAATATCAAAATAATATGAAAGGAGTAGCACTGATCAAGATGCATTGTCCTTACAAACTGACATGTTGAACTGAAACACCCTCTACTGCTCCTTAAGGATAATTTAAAATAATATTAAAAGGAGAACATAAGGAAAAAGATACTAGGGTAAGAAAAGAAAATGCTGCAAGAGTGCTACTGTAATTGAAGAATAAGATTGACACACAACTCAAAAAGTTACCTATAAGTTGGGCACTGATGGCTCACACCTGTAATCCGAGCTACTCAGGAGGCTGAAATCTGAGAATCACAGTTCAAAGCCAGCTTGGGCAGGAAAGTCTGTGAGACTCTTATCTCAATTAACCTGGAGAAAACTGGAAGTGGTTCAAAGTGGTAGGCCTTGAGCAAAAATGCTCAGGGACAGTATCCAGGCCCAGAGTTTAAGCCTTACAACTGACATGCTAAACTAAAGGTCCTGCTTTGGGTAAGATGGTAAGATGGTAAGACGTCGTGATTCTAATGTGTGCAGGATATAGTGGTGTATTGGTGATGTCTAACAACTGGCTCCATGAGAAAAAGTTCTGCTGGGGTTTTTTTTTGTCTGTCATGGGACTTGAACTCAGGACATGGGTATTGTCCTTAAGTTCTTTTGTTCAAGGCCAGCACTCTACCACTTTAAGCCACAGTTCCATTTCTAGTTTTCTGGTGCTTAATTGGAGACAAGAGCTATATGGATTTCTTGCCTGGGCTGGCTTTGAACCATGATCCTTAGATCTCAGCCTCCTGAGTGGCTAGGCTACCAGCGCCTAGCTAAGCAAGAGTTCTGATCTGCATTTACTAATTTCCATGATGTAAGATGAGACATGAAATCTTGTGAGATTCCTGAAAAATTAAACAGTCAATGCCTGCTTGCTAATTGGCTACAGTACTTCTCTGACTGAAAATGACTCAAAATGCCCTAAACTGAGATGCTTGGTAAAAGGGCAAACAGGGCTGTGTAAGGTCAGTTTAAATACCAGTATTCAAAGAAAGCCAAAACTAGCCTTGAATAATCCTAACTTCGCCCTTAGAGTGCAAGTACAGTAGGTTTTTTATGTTTTGTTTCAAAGGAGTGAAGGGGGGGTTACTCTTTATGGCACGAGGGGTTGGGGACAAGGAGCTGAAATAGTCTCACTAAGGTAGCCCAGGCTGGCCTTGAACTAATGATTCTCTGCTTCTCAAGTGCTAGGACTATCACTTTGCCCCACCACACCGGGCCTGTTGATTTCTTAAGCCAGAACTTCACTTCATCAACGAGAAAATCTATATGCAGATGTATGAGCACCCAAACCAGTCTGCCTTTGTGGTGACAATCTAGCTACTAGAGGTGGAGACACATGGGCGGAGAATTCTAAAATGTTCCTAGCCTGCAAAGACTTTTTTCAGTGTTTGTAATACTAAGCTATGTCTTTCACTTTAGTTCACACTGGTGTATCCATCTGCTTTAACAGTGACACCAACTGGCCAGCCTGTGCTAGGGGTCAGAAGGTTAGCAGACAGTTGGCCTCTTAACCCTGGAGAAAGTAGGAGGTTGAACAGATGATACAATTCTACACTGTTTAGTTAATGTTGCGCACTGTTCCATGCGGAGGACATGATGTGTCTCTGGAGTCATTGCATTTACAAATAAAAACTGAAGCCTGGCGCCAGTGGCTCACACCTGTAATCCTAGCTACTCGGGAGGCTGAGAGCTGAGGACTGTGGTTCAAAACCAGCCTGGGCTTGTTCAGCCTTGACTGTTCAGGTATAAAACAATGTATCAGGATGTTTGAGGGTCTAGAAGCACACTTGAGATGGGAGTGTGCCAGGGAGAAGAGCCCTCCTGGCCAGGACAGCTGGACGCAAATGGAAGTGGCCCTGCCTCCGCTCCAGTGTGGGACATGGAGGTGGAGGCCAGAAGGAGCAGGGGCTGAGCAAAGCAAGATGATGTAGGGTGGATACACTTTGTGATAGGGTCGCCAATGCTTAGGCAAAGGTTGAGAACTCACATGTTACGAAGTTTCAGTGGCAAAACAGAAGAGCAAGGCTTCAACCAACACATTTTTATACCTCAGTGTAGATGGTAAACAGGCCATGGAGATAAAGTGGGATTTAAATCTCAGGTCATTCACTTGGGGGGGGGGGCGGGTCTTAGAACAGTGACTATCTTACAGTCCACTGGTTTATATCTGTAGATGGGCAGAATAACAGTCCGCTGGTTATAAACTGGATAGCAAAGTCAATCAAGCACTAGCCCCATA